AGATGTCATTAACAGTCAGAAAAAAAACATGACCTTGTGCAATGCAAAGATACAGGTATCAACAGATTGTAGAGTCATAAATGTGCATAAGTATATAAAAATAATATTTAGTTTGATTATAAATTAAATTGGTAACCTTTTAGTATAAGTTTACTTAAAGGATCAATAAGTTCACCAGGATCTTATCTAAATTTCCGAGCTCGGTAAACAACATCTCTGTAAAAATTAGGATGTGTTATCCCGTTAAAAATATGTTTTCTACAGGTACAATCAAACTTCCAAACCAAGTCTTTATATCTATGGCAGAATTTAGTAAAGGTGTTAAGTAATTTGTGGTTAAGAAATCCCTGACTTAATAATTCACCAATAATACATAGATTACGTTCGTTGAAATCCAAAACGTCACAACAGACACAGCCATAGCGAACAGGTTGTGATATATAAACACCGTAAGATGGTGCTAAAGGAACTTCACCATCCAAAAAAGAAAAATTAACAATAGGGAAGGAAAACTTTTGTCGTAAACTTTACTGTAGAGTTTCCCGTGTAAATCTGAAATTTCATAATCTAGAAAAGGACAGTTATGGTGTAATACCACCATTGATTTTCCCCAATTAGTCTTTGTTAAATTTGCACTTTTAAAAAAAATTTGCAGAATTTATCTTTGTTTCAAATAAAGAAATACCTGGCATGAATAAAGTTTTATCCTGTCCAGTACTGTAGACAAAATTTCACATAACATTTCATTGCATATAAGAAAATAACCATCACTGGAAGTTAACCAATCAAATTTTCAACCCCGTTTTTCCTGCGTACAAGCTTTAGTATACCATGTAACCGCAAGTTTCCACAATATTCTATAGAAACACCAAATAAAAAAATAATGGTACTTTGCAACACCCAAGATATATGTTTATGACTCAGAAATTTTTTACTGCAATGAAATTTAGGATTAATTTCCTACAACTGTCAAATTCAAGGGAATATTTTTTTTCGACCCTTTTTTCGTATGCAACCGGATGTGATGTACTATGATTTGGTGGTATTAAACCTTATTACCGTTTAAAATTTGATTTATTTAAAGTAAGTTCCTTATGGTAACTTTCAGCAGTATATTTAAAACAAATTTGAACATGTAACGAAAAAATATCATCAAGATAACGATGAGTGTTGTTCAATTTATCAATCAAATGCAATTTAGACGAGTCTTTACTGAGTTTGGCCATAAACTGTGATTCATAACAGTACAAGAACAAGTCTGCTATTAAAGGGGCACAATTGGTGCCCATAGGAATACCTACAACCTGTCGATAAACTTTATGGTCGAAACGTACATAAATATTATCAAGTAGAAAATTAACAGCTTCAATCATCTCATCACAACTCCGGTAAGTATATCTAGCATATTTACCATTCTCATTATGTTTATATAAAAAGAAGTAGATGTGGTATGATTGCCAATGAGACAGCTATCCACCAAAGTTCAAATGAAGTGAATTTAAGCATTTATAGAATTATAGGCAATCTTACGACCTTCAACAATGAGATAACCTATTGTTGAGTTTCCTCAATTGTACTGTTTATAGACTAGAAACAAATATCAATATTGTTAAATATATTACACTTTTAAGGACAAATACAGATTAGATATATTTGTACACTTCATAACAATCATTAGGTCAAATGATCAAGATTGTATGGAAGGGGAATATCAATTTTTAAGAATTGCATGTATATTAATTATAACGTACTGTAAATTTGTAGACAATTCCTATGATTGAAATTCCAGATTCAAAATATTCCATGTTAGTAACCTATTTTTGGTCGAAACATTATTATTCAACATGTTCAAGGGTTAATTATTTTATAGGTGAACCACAAGTAAGTATTAAAAAAAAACATTTTCCTTTAGAAATGTAGGAAGAACTTGTTGAAACCTCAAAATCAATAATAAATAGACATGTTGTTTTTTCCTCAATTCCTGAAAATTGATACCTACACAATCAAGGAATACACATAAAATATTATGTACAAGATATAAGTCATTTATTTTCAGCATTTATTATTATTCATGATAATGATCTGATAAAATATGTTATGTGAGCATATACTGAAAAAACGAGATTCACATTGAGCCATTTCAGTATCAAGTATTATAATAATATATCAACAATAGTAGTTTCAAGAACTAATTGTGGCAAAATACAAAATCACTAAACAAATTGCTAGGTAACTGATCACATGATCACTAAAATACCACAATGTTAGTACAAAATTTGTCACATGATTTTGGCAGATTAGATTTCCTTGACGAAATTTGAAAAAGCATGAAAGGGTTTTACCATTAATCTAAATGTGTGAAAGAAGGAAAGAATTTTCTATTCTGAACATGGGTCATTGGTTATATACAGTTGTAGGCAAATGCGACGTATGCAAAATTACTCAAAGAAAGTATGTTGGTTGTGAGGGTATTTTAGAGTCGCTTCCACCCTCCCTCTTCCAATACAATGGAACAACCCTCATTAAAGAACACCTGTTTTGGTAGAATATCTTTACTGTGAATTCGGTTTTATTCGTTGATACCTTTATCTTCCATATTTTATGAATATAGGTGTATCATGTGTATTGGTCATGGAGGAAAGTTTTGATTATGAATATATTTTCTTGTTAACTTTTAATATTGAATTATGTGTTCAAGAGAACAATTTTGAGTTAGTCCTATACTGACCTAAAACCCTAAAAATATGAAGTAAATTGTAGGAAATTTTTTTCAGGACTATGCCATTTAAAAAGTTTTTGGAAGGTAGGACGGGACATTTTTTTTTTCTTGACATGCATTAATGGGTCTTTCATGATTGTTTCTAAAAATAAGAAGATGTAATAGAATTTGATGCATGCAAACTTAAAAGTCAAAGAAAGTATTTAGTAATAAGGCTTTTTGAATCTACCTTCCTGTTCTATAAAAAGGTTAGTTTTAAGTGTTTTTGAAAACAAAACCTCAATAGAAACTTGACCATACTTATGCGGTGCTTGTTGATCAGTGCTTTACCCAGTTCTTTTCATGTATGTTAAATTGGTAAATTATCATTGATGTATTGATATCAAAGGTATGTATGAAACAAACTTAAATGAAAAAACATAGTGAAATAAAGATATACAGATTTCTAATAATACCATCAATGCAATGATGAGTTATTACTAAGCAAAGCAACTGAAGCATATAGCTGAAGGCCACAGTGACTTATAAAACTTCCCAAAAATGGATCTTCACAAAACTAATACAATGCCAATAAAGAATGGAATTAAGGTCGCTGTAGATTGTTCAAAGCATGTCATTATTCCAAAAAGACTAACCAGAAATCTTTAAAATTCAAGACTGAGGGCTGTACCAGACACATACTGGATCTCTGCAGGTACTTTCTCAGAAGTGCCCCACTACCTTTAGAACTTTTTTACCCAATTCAAGGCTTAAATATGTTCTATTACCAATCAACCATGGCTATTTATATGCAAATGTCTTTAAAGGCCTACAAATAACTGATAAAAAATTAGACAATCCACAAAAAAATTCAGCAAAAAACTAGCATGTACAGATATGATTGCAACTGCATACCCAATAAGTGCATTATCAGAAAATATTCAACTGACGACTAGATAAAACTTTGCGCATGTTTTCCTTCATCTTTAAAATGACAGAAAGAAATAGTTATGCAACAAAATTTACAAATTATTGTCATAACATTAAAATCCATGAACACAAATGTAAAATATTAAAGGCCAAAACAGATGTTTTCTGGTTTTTATAATCACTAGTACCTGAACCTTTGATGAAAAACACATATACAAAATTTTGATTGAACAGAATAGAATTTGAACCATTTTCTATATTCATCTACACGAGTGAACCAACACCTTCTAACAGTACAGGCTGGAAGAGTAATCAGGATGGATACCGAAGTATGCTGCATTGTCTTAAAACCTCAGGAAAATAAAACTATAAAAAGACAACAACATCCTGGATTACTGCAAGGAAATGCTTTATTTTGGTCTACATGTTTCGCCACTTATGGTGGCGTCTTCAGGACAATTTAATGATAGGAAACAAGTGCTGAAGTACATAAAATGCGGTTCATATGGGGTTACAAAAAGGTTAACAAGACGTAACGTTTAACGTTGTCAAACCAATAATTGTGACGTTACGTCTTGTTAACCTTTTTGTATCCCATATGAACCGCATTTTATGTACTTCAGCACTTGTTTCCTATCATTAAAATGTCCTGAAGACGCCACCATAAGTGGCGAAACATGTAGACCAGAGTAAAGCGTTTCCTTGCAGTAATCCAGGATGTTGTTGTCTTTTTATAGTTTCATTTTCTATATTGTCAAAATGACCATTTTGGAGAAGCCTGTAATTCATTGTGATTTTCATTGATTGCTGTCTTTCATATTTGTTTTCAATTATTGTTATATCATAAACAAGGCCGTAGGGTTTCTTTGTCGTTTTTTTTTACATTTTGTCATATCCAGGGTTTCATAGCAGACTAAAGGGTACAATGTTTGCTCATTTTACAAAGCTGTATGATAATCTATACTTAATTGCATCCATTTCACTTGGACTCTAGCGGTTAGTTGTCTCATTGTCAATTATACAACTTCTTATTTTTATAGATAAACTTCAGTAAGTTACATGTTGTTTTGACCACAAATTCATTGTAAAATACCTTCTTTAAAAATGTTATCCTGCTATTGGATAGAAAAAACATAATGCCCCCCTCTTACTTTCGTAGGTGTGGTAAAGAAATTGTAAAACAGCTTTCTAAAACAAAATGTATGTAGTACTTTGTGAAAAATTATTAATTCTGCAATCAACTCTAAGTGTATAACAATTACAAGTACGCCTCAAAGCTGATTGATTTGCAAAATGTATAAAACAAAATTAGGAATATTAAATATTCTTGTGAATAAATCACCCAAATCTTTGACCCAAGAAACATGCAAACTATGAAAAACATTCATCTTCTCAACTTAACTGCATATAATATTACAGAAAGTTATAAAACCCCAAAAAATACTGTTTGAGAGAAATACTTGCACAAATAAAAGCTAGCAATAAGCATTCATAATACAGAAAAAAATAAACTGAAAGTTGCATAATTATGCTGTCAAAAAAGTCTCAAAACATTCAAATTCACTTCTTCAAACCAAACAAAAATCTTTTCTCTTCTTCAGTACCACAAACAAAGCTTTTTTTCTTTCCTTTGTCCACAGTTTAGGTATATATGCCCTGGTATGCAATCTCCTTGAATTATTTTCTCATTTATAAATCCTAGGTTTGTCAATCTGTCTTTTTGTAGGCTACCATGGCATCGACTTTATGAAGTAAAGTTGTAAATGATCTCAGTCTTACTTCCTCTGAATTTGCAATGAATTGTGGGCCATCTTCACCCCACGAGTCTGGTACCTCTAAATCTTTATCTGTATAGACTAGAAGGTCAAAAGCACCTAAAAGAAAATATGAAATTCTCAGTATAAACTAATCTCGAGTTGTTTTTTATGAATGAGTTACATCAGTTGATTTGAGGTCAATCTGAGTAAATGACGTCATTGGACAAACAGTTCCTACTGTGATGTAATAATATAAGCATTGTTACATAAGAACGTTACAGGAATATGCACAAATTTGAAAGTCGTCTATATGTCAACAGCCTTCAATTAGGGTTTATTGAGTGTTTCTCTAATGCATCTTTTGTTATTTGACCAATCAAGATTGAAGGGGGTAGTTTGAAGTTTGAGAAGATATCTTTTTAACAATGTCAAATGTTCATATTGTATAATTACTAAATTTTTACACAATTTTATTTACATCTAATGAGGCAAGCTTTCTTATAATTTTTCATGTTCATGTGCCTGTCACAAGTTAGGAATTTTGTTAGCAGGTCATGGGAGTGTCTTTTGTATTTTAACGTCATTTTAAGAATTTGAATTGATAGCAGTTCTTCAATATGATTTCTTAAATTTATTTACATCTTTTTTTTTTAAATCTCGGGGGGGATTAAGAGATTGACAAACTGTTAACACCTGCCTTATTGCTGAAGACTGTAACCTTTAGATATACTGAGGTTTTTGTGTCATTGGCTTACTGTCTCAATGACATTTACACCAAACCTCTTTTTAATAATTAAAATGACAATCAATCAGACAAAATATCCACACTATAGGTGCAGTTTTAATTTAAAATCAAATCTTAAATTTTTTTCAAGGTCACCTTGTATTTTTTGTTTTCAAAATTCATTGAAGAACATGAATTTAAGTTTGATTTATGAGGTCAATTTTCAAATTAAAAGTCAAATGCAAAACCAAGAAGTGCAACATTTGGGGCAGTATCTAACTTACCCTTCCGGAACACCCCGAATCACCCTTATGTTTTTTTTTAAAAGGGGTTTGTGTAGCTTTTGCTTTATTTCGAAGTGGTGTTCTTTAATTTGTGCTTTTATGTTTTCAATGTCTTTTAAAATGTCTCATTCTTTGAATATTCAGGGTCACAAAATTTACATGACCAGTGGTTAGATAGAGTCAATTTATACTCCACTATTGTATGAATATGATGCCTAATAACTTGACATATTTAATAGGAGTAACACCACAGGTATCACATGTGGAGCAGGATCTACTTACCCTTCCCCAGCACCTGAGATAACCCCTAGTATTTGGTGGAATTCGTGTTGCTCAATTTTTAGTTTTCTATGTTGTGTTTTGTAGGTTGCTGTTGTCATTTGGCTGTTTTTGTTTTTGCCATGGCCTTGTCAGTTTGTCTTCGACTTGCGAGTTTGAATGACGCTTTGGTAACGTACTCCCCTCTTTTAATGATTTTATTACATCAGAACTACTTTCTGAGTTAACATGGACACTTAATAATTAACTTACAAGCACTTTCTAAAAGAGGTAGGAATGTTACAGAGGCCGTTATCTGCCGTAAAACTGAACAAATTTCTTTATTAATCTCTTTCTCAGATTTCTCTCTTGGTTTTCTGAAAATAAATCATATATATTTGTAAAAGTGACTAGCAATGTGAAAAATTGTAGTAATGATAAGAAAACAAAAATATAAATTTCAGATAAATCCTAAAACTAAGTGTATGCCATATGTATGGTAATAGCTGTCATTTATCTTACTTGTACATCTTGTTGGTATTGTGGTAGTGTTTACTTGTTGGTATTGTGGTAGAGTGTTTACCTACCGTGTTAAAGATGTAGAGTTGGATCATTGGCTGTATCATACCACACTTTAAAATTTACATTTGCTTGTTTCTCTTTACATGACTTAGCATACAACGTAGGAGTAAGGAATAAAACTCTTGTATTTTAACATCTGAAGTAGGATCCAGATAAAAATGTTTTCAAAATTATTTTATACAAATATATCATGTTTACACGGGGTTTTTGCCAAAAATACCAGTTGAGAGGTAAACAAATTTCCAGAGCTGTTAGGTGAGGGAAATTTGTTTTTACCTCAAAACCGGTATTTTTGGCAAATACCCCTTGTAAGCATGATATAATTGTTTAATTCCACAGACAATGACAGAATGCTCTTTGTATCCATCTTGATCTCAAAATTTTTATTGTAATCAGGTATCCTATGAAAAGTCTAGAGGTCTTCGGAAGTCGCGTTATTTTTGGACATGGTATTTCCCATCGAATTCCCTAATGACAAATACACGGGCAAAGAAATGAAAATCTCAATATATAGAAAATTGGTGAAAAATACCATTTCTCTCATCCAATCAAAAAATTCGTAAGGGTTCCGCGGAACCCAGTGTCTCGCCTATTTCTGCTGTTAATCGCAGGCTCAACAAAAATGAGATGAGGAAAAAATTTAATAAAAATATTCCTTTCCATACAATTTTTTTATATTAAGAAGCTTCTGTCCAAGTTTGGTAAAAATCCAGGATAGTTTATGAATCTAATAAATGTTTTAAAAAATTTAACTGCAGACTATATCTAATGTTAACTGGAAGAAAAACTAAGTCCATTTATAACTAAAATATGGATAAACAAGTACAAAATTTTAATAAAAATTTCCTTCTAGATACTAGCTTTTGATCATAAACAAACTTCTGTCCATGTTTGGTAGAAATCCAGGATAGTTTAAGAAAGTTATTAAAATTTCAAAAACTTTAACGATAGAGTGAATGTAATGTTTCCTGGCAGAAAAACTAAGTCCATTTATAAGTAAAATACGGAAAAACAGGATTTTTTTTTTAAATTTACTTCTGGATACTATCTTATGATCATAAACAAGCTTCTGTCCAAGTTTGGTAGAAATCCAGGATAGTTTGAGAAAGTTCTTAAAATTTTAAAAACTTTAACCACAGAGTGAATGTAATGTTTCCTGGTAGAAAAATTAAGTCCATTTATAAGTAAAATACGGAAAAACAGGAATTTTTTTTTTTACAAAATTTACTTCTGGATACTATCTTATGATCATAAACAAGCTTCTGTCCAAGTTTGGTAGAAATCAAGGATAGTTTAAGAAAGTTATTAAAATTTCAAAAACTTTAACCACAGAGTGAATATTTGTGGACGCTGACGACGGAATGTAGGATCGCTATGTCTCGCTTTTTCGACAAAGGTCGAAGGCTCGACAAAAACAGCATTATTGCATTAGGTGGAATTATGTTTAAAATCATATGATACTTCAAATTCTACCAAAAAAGTTGAAACTGTATTATACTGTGGATTCATTATTATTCGTTGGATACTTATTTTAGTGGGTTTCGTGGGAACAGTTGAACCAGGAAGTTAAATGCTTAATGAATCCCAAATGTTCTATTGCCTTGTTCGCAGACATTGGCAAAACCACGAAATCAAATATCCACGAAAATGCAAGTTTTCCTCAATCCACTAAAATTGGTACCCACGAAAGTAAATGAATCCACAGTATACATGACTGGCTAATATTTACTATAAAACACGAGTAGATTTGATTTTAAGAAGAAAAGAAATTCCAAATCCTCATAAATGTACTCTAAATAGCCGAAAGACTTTCTGTATGCAGTGACCTCACCCTGACATTTCTCGTTAGAAATTCATCAGTCACAAATATTAAAAAAAAATTTTGACAGAGGAGTACTAGGTTTTGCTATCTGACAGTATATGTTTTTTTGGGATTGAACAAGTTAATGCACATTTGTGGAAGACTGAACATCAGTAGATTAACACTTTTAATATATTAGTTATTATTGTCGGGAAACAAAGATTAAAAGTATACTTTCATCTTAATGCATGCCTCTGTTGCTTGTTATCATTGTTATACCCAATGCTGACCTTTAAGTGATTAGAGGAAAATAGAGAAATGTATAATATCTAAAGTATTAGATAAATTTCATCGAACAAATGTAATTGTTAAATACATATAGAGTTAAACAGAGTTCACCCTAGGTTTTGTGTGGTCTTCATGTTACTCAATCTTTAGTTTTCTATTTGGTGTTTTGTGGATTTCTTCATCTTTTGGTTGTTTTTCTTTTTTATGCCGTGGCGTTGTCAGTTTATCTTCGAATTATGAGTTTTGAATGCCTCCTGTTATCTTCCATCTCTTTTTCTAATGATTAACAAAGAATCACAAAACTAGTACAATGACTTTATTGTTTTGCTTAAGATGAGAAATGGTGACAATCGGGTCATGGCATAAAATACGAACAATGTCGGGATCATTAAAAAGTTATTAGAACACAAAATATCACAGTATAAATATCCAGAAACAAATTCTGATAGTCAAACCAAAACTTTTTAAAGGGAAAGAATTGATTGGATGTTCAAAGGTACTAAATATGACCCTTTACAGGATGTCTTCAGATCTTACAAAGGTGTGTATGCACAACAAGAAAATCTAACTGGATAAGGGAATGATCAGATTTAGGGATCATAGATTTATTCTTACGAGGAAGCTCCGAGCATGCTCGGAGGATGCTCGGAGTATTTTAGGTAGGCTCTTCTCAGCAGTTAATGTGACAATAATTATCATGATCCATTAAGATGTCAATCAAATCTACACCACTTCTATGATAAGGAAAGTAGAGCATTATAGAGGATGCTCCATAAACACCTGTGTAAACATCTGGTCTATTCTAATACATTTTGCATTAAATTTTACAAAACTATAAAATAGATTAGAAATTCTTCAACACTTACAGTGCTGTGTAATGCTTAGAAAGAAATCTCAAGTCTCCACAAAAAGTAAAAGTCATTTAAATATTTTCTTATTATATTTAATAATCATTCCTTTTTTTATAATAAAAAAATTCTCAAATTTTATAATTAGATGATATGATTTAAAAATAGATATTATGCTACATAAAAGTTATCAAGACACAAACAACAGTCAGGTGGCGATACTAAACAAGTAATTTTTTTTAGTCACTTTTATAAATATTTTTTGTCTTTAAAAATTATTTAATAACTCAACAGTTATTTTAAATGACAAATAAAGCATGGACTAAATGTAGTTTTCAAGAATTTTTATATCATTTCATTAAATAAAATTAAGTATTTATCCAATTTTAGATGAGTATAGAGAGGTTACTTTAAAAAATAATGACAAAAATATTACTTTAATAAATTATTTTATACAACTTCAAAAAACTTAGTACTTACAATTATTTAAGGAATATATGTAATTGCTTTTGATTAAGATTCAAATTATAAATAACTTCAAGTCTTAATTAAAGGTTCCATATCTAGTTATAACTGTCTATCTCTAAGATTATAAGGGGAAATGATATTATAATAGCCCCAAGAGGGCAATCTTTGACCAAGAAGTGTGGCATCAGAAAAGCAATTAGTGCTTGTTGAGGATTTAAATAGCTTTACAAGTATATTTCATGGGGAAAATAACCAGATGTCTGTGAAAATTTGTTAAAGCTAGTAAAACCTGTATGAATGAACACATATAAAAATAATATTAACAGAAGTTACTTATTCATGATATAGAAGTAATATTTGAAACAGCATTGTTTACAACATAACTTGTATAGGTAATTTTGAAAATTACTTGTTTAAGTAATGCCCCTAACTAAACAATGGTAATATGTTTTTTTTAAATAGCAAACTAAGTTCTTTTATAGAAAATTATGGCTACTTTAAGAAAAGTTTTAATTCATTAGTGGATGCCTGGTTTGAGGGGGTAATACCACCATTGTTTTCCCTCTAGTACGTATACGTCTCTCTTTACTTGGCATTTTATTTTAATTGTGCAGATTTAGCTTTGTTTTAAATAAAGAAATACTTGGCATGAGTAAAATTATTTTCCCCCTATAAGTCTTTGTTTAATTGTCATGATTGTTATATTTCAAAAAAAATGTGCAGAATTTATCTATGTTTTAAATAAAGAAATACTTGACATAAATAAATGTCCTGTACTACAGTGAAAATATAGCATAACTTTTCAGTGCATATAAGAAAGAAAACATCACCAGAAGTTAACCAATCAAATTCTCTCCCCCTTTTTTCCCTGTAGAATATAATATTTTTTTATTGCTTTGAAACACCCAAGAAACATGTTTGCGTCTCAAAAAAATTTTCTGCAATTGTAAATGGAGGATTTATTTCAAACATCTGTCAAATTAAATGGAATATAAAAAAGATCAACCCTTTTTCGTATGAAACTGAATGTACTATGTTTTGTTAGTATGGTTATAAATCAATAACCATAGTTTGCGTCTTTGATGACTTTTATATTTCATTTTATATAGTATAAATTTAAAATATATTTATATTTCAAATATAAAATTTGAGTGTTTTTTTATATCATGTGTATTGAAAAAGAATGATAATTATTAAGAAAATGTTTTGAAATCATTTTCTTTCTGTGAAGACTTGATACCAAGCATTGTACAGTAATATTGAAGAATTTCTCATCTATTTTATAGTTTTGTAAAATTAATGCAAGATTTGTTTGAATAGACCAGATGTTTACACAGGTGTTAATGGAGCTTCCTCTATAATGCTCTACTTTCCTTATTATAAAAGTGCTATAGATTTGATTGACATCTTAATGGATCATGATAATTATTGTCACATTAACTGCTGAGAAGAGCCTACTGAAAAGCTCCGAGCATCCTCCAAGCATGCTTGGAGCTTCCTCGTAAGAATAAATCTATGATCCCTTAAATGCCGTTTAAATATTTTACCCATCACTAAGAACGGATTTATCACATTCTACATCAAACTGCCATCTTTCAAATACTTCTTTTGTGTCTATGTCTTTGATAACAACAACTAACTTCTTCACTGTCATCTGCTGTAGCCATTCTGAAATAATTCAATTATATATATCATGTATTATGTATGAAGTGCCTAGAAAATCAACCTAACAATGTTAGAGTAGATCTGATTCTTTACTTCCTCCCCGACTGGGTATTATGTATATATAATATAAAGTTGAACTGTTAATCAAAAAACAATTCAAAATTCATTCATTTGAAGTAATAAGGGACAACATCAACAGATTGATGAAGGATAAAAAAAACTTAATTCACATAGTTAGGGGGTGGTGGGTCAACCTGGCTGCAAGTTTTGTTATCCCACATTTTTTTTTCGGGTTAAAGAAAAACATATGAAACTTAGATCCTAAATGTCTTTGGACCTTTCATGCAAATAAAAGGTAATAAATCGTACAGAATAGACATTTCTTGGGACTAAAAACTCATCAAATATACCAGGCTTATATTAGGGTATGCCAGCTGCCCGTTTTGTCTACATAAAACTCATCAGTGGCAATCAAATCAAAACAGAATGAAGGCCAATTCATACATGAATTTGAAGAGTATAAAAACTGAAAATTTCAAAAAGTAGCTGTATTATCAGTCAGGGGACTTACTTGAAATTAGTGATTAATAAATCACTGATTCAAGTAACATTTTTCCAGAAATGTTGTAAGTTAGAGTTGTCTTTCTTTAATAATCACATTTTTAAGTAGTACAAATCAATCACTAGACTAAGTGATTTAATTTTATTGTAGCTTTAAATATATAATACTAATGATCCAGGGACTAATTATGGTGCTAAAATTATCAGAACTAACATCTGTGTTTATAGAATGACCGGTCATGTCAGGTGATGACCTTGTACTGAACCTGGGATAAATCGCTTGTTTAAGTATCATACCTCTAGTTTCTTAAAAAAAAAATCACTTCTTTAAGTATTATTATTTTAATTACCCCCACTAATTTCAATACCCCAGAACAGTGAAATTTTGGTCGCGAACAGTAAAATTTGATTACATAATCTGTACGATGAAACCTTGAATTTTACAGGAAAAATACTCCCACTGCTGGGAAAATCTGTTAAGAAAGTATTGATTAGATCATAATGTAAAGCTTCATTATAGCATATTTTTCAACAAATATAGGATTTACAGATGAAAGATTGCATCAAAGGCATAAACCTTGCTACTTAAAAGAAGTAAAAGGTTCATTTTTTTCAATTTTACTAATAATTAGATTTTGGTAAAACTACAAAATCAATCACAGAATTTCTAATTTGCTACTTAAATGAGTGATTAATAAATCACTTATTTCAGTAATTCCTCGGACTTATTATGGTACCTATGTCATTGAAACCATTATTAAATGTCAATTTTGAATCTCAGTGACACCCATATACTGCAGATCAACAAATACATTTGTCTCCATTAATAAAAAAAACTTATGTTAAACAATTTTTTTTATAGTCATGTAGAATTACTGGGATCAATTGAAACATGTAATACAGGATGCAGATTTTATTTCATGTACTCTACAGTCATTATGGATTTTGTCTGACCACTTATCATAAATTTACAATTAAAATGGGTCCCTATTTTAAGCTACAAACCTATCAGATCTGACAGAGCACTGACATAAACAAGTCATCTTAGAAATGGACAATGAATTTATTCCAATAAGTGTTTACAAAAAAAATTAAATACAACAAAAAAACATCCAAACTCTATGCAATTGAATTGCCAATAGTTGTCAAATAGAAATGCAGGTCCACATTGACTGTCATGACTGTAGTGTACGTAAAAAATAATTCACATTACTAGTATTAATTTTGGAGGAACAGCATATGCACATCAATATTTCCAGTCAGATATGCCAAAAGTCAATACAAACAGAATGCACTATTCATTGTTGAGGGGTTCTGACCGACAGTAAAATCCTTGCCAAAGTGGGCGTCTGTTAGTTTGTACAGGATGTATAAATGCACTGCCACAGTCCAGGAAAAATCCATGTGAATTAAGTAGTTTTTTTATCCTAATTTGAATTTTTGAAGTGGTGCCTTAAATGTGACGTCTTAAATAAATAGAGAGTGTATCCATGCAACACAGATGATGCCTCCGCTTGCATGTAACATTATAAAGGGACATAAATAGAGAACTTTAAAAGTGATGCCACTCAAATTCACAATTGATCTGTGTTTATATTACATGCAATAATTGTGTATAAGTGTCATAACATTTGGTTGAGGAAAACTTAAGTTAGAGAACGGAAATAAATTGCAAAGGGGTATCAATCTAGAATGGTAAAAGTGACACCACCCAAATTCAAACTTGATCTGTGTTTTGTAGTAATAAGCATACATGTGATTCTTCCGGCGGGAGTCAAAATCTCCCGCATTTCAGACCCTCTTCCGTCCCTCCCGTTAAAATTTGAAATCTTCCGCTTTTTGAAAATGTCAACCTCGTAAAATTTTCATTAGACATTTTTGTTTACAAAATGGATACGGACAGAGAAAAAGTCCGAGAAACTCGAAATTGATATGGGAAAAGTCCGAGAAAAACGGAAGTTTCCTGTAATGGATTTTGTGTCAAAAGTTAAAATAGGTAAAATTAGCCTGAGGTGTTTAGGATTAAACTGTATATACAACAATAAATAAAAGATAATAGGCAATTACCTAGTGATCAACTAGCTAGTTTAAGACACAAGCAAGGTTGATTAAAAGTGAAATACTGACAAAGGATTAAATTGTACAAGTTGTATAAACAACAATTTAATTTGATGCTGTTGAAAACATGGAACGTTTACTGAACCTCAAAGACAAATGAAATCAACTCAAATATGATATTTATGGCTTGTTTTCTATCCAAGCCAATGGAATACCTATATAAGTACAGTTGTCTTGGACTATTCTAAAATTTTAGAATTTGACAAAATGCAAACCGTATTTTTATATCACCAAATACCCCAGCAGCAAATAAAAGAAGACCAAGTATCTAGCCAAATTCAACTCTGCCTGGAGATCTGATTTCAAATGATGCAGATCCAGTACCAAGGGTCAAGACCATGCTTACTACACTTCATGCAAAGCTGACTGTGGTGGCCCTAATGATTTGACCAAACTTATGGGGACAGCTACCCACCAGCAAGCCTACAACTCTATCAATTAACACCTTCTGTTACAAGCATGTTCAGTAGTAGTACCAAAGTTGACAATGTAGCTGAATCAGGGGTACTTTTTGCCAACTCTGTATGATGGCTGATCGCTTTATCTTGAATTATATATAATGAATAAATATTTGAAACCCCTTATCTTCTATTTTATCAAGTAAAAATGAATATGGAGTTGTTGAAAGGTATGGAATTATTGTTCTTTTAACAAACAAAAAAGAAGATATGCAGTTTAAACACACAAAAAACCATTGCGTACGTCGATAAATAGGTCGATAAAAAATCTCCAGTTATGAAGCCCAAACTCCAGCTGAAAATTTCCAAATCTCCAGTTGTGGCTTGACAACTCTGTCACATGTCTGAATAAGCATTGTGTTCATAACATTTGATTCATGCAAAGTAAAGTTAAAGAACAGAAACTAATTTTTCTGATGTACATAAGGACGAACAAGGGTAACACTTAATGCTTCCTCTGCTGCGAAAGGGGCATAAAAATAAGGGAATTCAGGTTTTTCTTCCACAATTCTAACTTGGCATACATTACGAAAAGTTCACACCATAGTGAACATGTATACTAAGTTTCAAGCTAATGTAATCATAAATTAATGGTAAATCTACTGTAACCAAAACTTTAATTTGATACAACATGTCAATGGAACAACATTGAAAACAGTATTACTTTATGGAGACACAACATATACTTAGTTTCAAGCTGATGTAATAATAAATTAATGGTAAACTACCACAACTATTACTTTGATTTGATACAACATGTCGAAAGAACAACATGGAAAAAAGTACAACTTTATGGAGACACAACACTCATTCTCATGTTTTAAATACTGGAACAAATCACAAATTTCTTAAATCAAGATCAGGGTGCATTATCACCCTGGAGAATGTGTTTTAACCTCTCTGTACTAAAATCAACATGTGTAGTCAAAATCGCAGAATGAAACTTTTGAAAATCTCTGTAGGACTTTTGTGCTTGGCATCATTTTGAAATCATCAAAAAAGCATCAAAGGGCTATAACTTTTATATGGAGTTGACTGATGATTTCAGATATATATCCGCATTTGTGTAGATCTTGTAAATGAATATCAATTTTGTTGCTTACAGTTTCTGTCTGTTGTATCATTGCAAATTATACTACATTTTCTTATTTTCATATAATAGTTTCATGTTTCAAAAATAATTAGGAAACTAAATGTGAACAATCATCATGGTCAATTTTTGTTTATTGGAAATACTTCCTTTTAGGAGAACTTTACTACTGAAATGCACATGTTCAAAGAACAGCTTAAATCATATCATTACGCTTTCGGTAAGTGTTAAGCTAGTAAATCATTTGTAAATATATATGTATTTTTTCTTATTACAGAGGAAGGCTTTAAATATATTTTTTTCCGTAACGTTTTTACAACTTAAATTTAATCATGCAAAACTAAGCTTTATAATCTTAAAGTCATATGATACTCTAAATTTAAAAAAAGGTGAAGACACATTTTAATTACTTAATTAGCAAAGCTCTACAATAAAACATTATTATTATGTAGATGGACTGCCATTTAAGAGAATTTCCTTTATCATATCAATCGTCCTGAATATGCATGAAATATTTGCCACTGGATGTTAAGCAACCAACAATCAATCAATCAATTGATCATATCAAAATCTTAAGAAATGTACTGCTATAAAATTATTGTCTTTCCCTAATCATTAGAGTATAATTAACCACAGCTAGCTAAAGCACAAGTGGGATGGAAAACTGAGAGGACAGAAAAAACAAATGTGGAAATTAGATAAACGAAAAAAATTAATACACCAAAATATTATGACAAAGTTAAATCAACAAATGGAAACAAATGGATAATATGAAA